AGAAGGGGCCAGAGGTTAAAATCTTTGCACGAGTTACCTTTTGTGCTGTTCCAATATCTAATAACACAGTAGTTTTAAATTATAAACCCCGACAACATTTAACAAGTTTCTTACATGTTTTAATTTTAGCCTAGTAATCTTTCATGTGGAGCAGCAGTGTCCCTGAGGTCATAGTCCTGGACGATGAAACAAGCAGAGACAGAACAGATTACAAAACTAAAGTGGCTGGACATTATTAGATTATGGTAAAGGTGCTACGTGGACTCCAACTATCAGCTACAGGTTTAGATGTAGTTTCTTCACAACATTGCAACAGCTACATGCTATGAGGGTTAAACACAGCGTGTGTGGCAGCTTTTCTGCTTCCTAAACAAGCAGTTATACCTTCAAAACCACTGGGAACTTCTCAGGAAGAGATCAAAGAAATCTGTAGGGTCCTTCTAGCAAATGAGTAAAGTGGTCTTGAATGGTTTAAACCAATAATGCCATGTCCTACAAGTGGGATTTTCAGAGGGCTCCAAGGGGTTTAGGCATACAAAGCCTATTAACCTTTAATGGAATTAGGATACCTATTCCAGAGGTGTTTGGAAAACCCAGCACTACTTAGAACAATGTTTCTCAAACATAAATAACTGTTTCAAGGACAAAATGCCTCTATTTTAGAAATTAAGCATGCCATTTTATTCACATGCGTGAGTATCAGTTTGATGGTAAGCCAATGCCATCCCCACCCTAACTTCCCCGTGTTGAATCTCTAAGAACAGGATTGGATCTAGGTGGGTCTAACATGCTGATGTGCAATCACAAGAATGGATAAGAGCCTTAAAAGTACTCACAAATAATTTATTCTTGCTACACCTGATCATTTTAACAGCCCTCAACACTGAAAAATTCAAGGAAAAAACTATTAAAAAATACATAAATGATATGAACCTGATAAATGCTTTTTATGAAATTCTTGTCTGGGAAACTTTCCCAGAAAGCACAGGGAACATGGAAAAGCTTCTTTTAGAGAGTCAGTATTAACTGCTGCCACTACAGGGACCCAAGAGGCTATCTATTATTATCGAATTCAGTGATTATTGATTACTCTTTTGTATTGACAACATCAGTGTGTATATAGATTACCTGCCATATAGCTGCCAATCATGTGAATTTAAGATTTGGACCAACAAGAACCTGCAAAGTAACTTTCCAAAAACATATTTTATTCATTGTTCCCATACCTCTGTGCATATGCCTCTTGAAAATTAAAACTGACTGCTGCTTTGTACAGCAAATCCAGGCAGCTCAGCATCACGCACACTGCATACACAAATAACTGTGGTGTTTAGCACTGTCCCAGAGTGACCTCTAGGAAAGGTGTGTTTGCTCATGTTGTTGAGCTGAGGTGAGAACAGAGTTCTAATTACCTGCCCATTTTTCTGCAGTAGTTTACAGTTGAATCTCATTACCTGTTTAATCACCTCTAAAAGTACAGTGTAATTAGTACCGCAGCAATATAGAGGCTACGAGGCACTTTCAAGAATGGCAGAAGCCTATTTGATATTCTGTGAATATCTTATTTGAACCAAAATTCAGACACTGAAAAGTACGTATTTATATGCTTTTAAAATGCTTAAGTCCTATACTACACCTTCAGACTTTAAAATAGTTGTTCAGAGTCCCATTTGAAGTAAATTACCAACTTCATTTAAATCAGAGTTGTACTAATTTGCCTCGTTAGAGACTTTGACCCGCGCTCCTTTTCAGTATCATACCACAAACTCTGGGCCTCATAATGTTTTCACTAAAAAAAGAACACTTCAAAGGGATTGTGTGCTTAATGAAATTCAGAATGAGGCCTTCTGCAAGGAACTACAGTAAGCAATTTTAAAGTATCTTCTTCATTAAAAGGACAAACTTTCAGAGCCAGCAAATGAAATTCTGTAATTAAAACATGTTTGTTTAAAAAAAAAATCTGGAGAGGTCTTGGACAGTGAAATAATATCCTTTAGATTAGTGTTTAATTGAAAACAGTATTTACTGCTCTAGTGCATTTGATATAGCTCTCTACTGTGCTGCTTTATGTATAATTGTATTTTGCAACCAATTTAAAATAACCAGATGACTGCAGTCCTTATATAAGGTGAAGATGAGTCCTTGCAAGGATATCAATGTCTACAGGGGTTTCTTTCTAACAGATATGAAAAAGTAATTTCCATTCTGCTACTTTCGTGTGATCTTTCCTGCATATAAAATGCCTTTCACATACATACACACAAGACTCCTCACCTGAAAAGAATATTACCTAAAAATCAACATACCATACTCTAATATTCTCTGCATCTTTGATTTAAGAAAAAGTTAGGTCATTATAATAGCAACTCTTCTTTTAAAGGCATAATTTGTTGCTTTTATGCCTATGGTCTTATTAAAATGTGAATGCTACAATTATAGCAAAGAAAACGGGTACAATTCTGACTTGACAGTGGTATGTGTTAACAGACTAAAAGATTTCCAGAATGCAAAAGGGAAGTCCAGGGTTATTGACACTTCTCCCAAAACTATTTCCTGTCTTTGAGATATCAGTGGTAAAAACAAACTTTAAATTACAAAGCAGTTTAACATGGTCTTACAAAAAGCCTGAAAACTCTAAATCTGGCCACATCACTAGAAAGATTAATGATGATTATCCAGCCTACCTTCTCATCCTACTGACAGTTCGTCTCATTGCATCTTTGACCAAGTTTCGTTTAGCCACACTCTGATCAATGACCCCTGTCCGTCTTCAAGCTCATATAAAGGTGAATTTAATATGCTGCTATTGAAATAGTAATACCAACATCCTGGTGCACTGGGAGAAATTCTGCTACAGATTAGAAGATTTCTTGGTAATATATTTTTAAAGGTGTTTTCAAAAGCGGAGAGAGGACCTCAGTATGACTTAGTTGTATGTGAGTGCCAGAAGCTTTTTCCGTATGTCCCCATAGCCTGATTGCATTTAGCGTACTGGCCTATTGTTATAGACAAGAGAATGTCCAACTCTCTCAAGGTTAATTGACTGCTGTTCTTTGAAATATACATGAGAAACTTTATTGACTATTTCACATCCAACCTCACCTGTCATGCAGGAGGAGAGCAGTAACAGGGGAAAAGGACTCCACAAAAGGATGAGAAGGACAAAGGTGAAATGCAGAGGGCTGCACTAAATTTTGCCAGATCCTTTCTCTGTTGTTGCTGGGTATATTTTTGTGATTAGAAACAGTCCAATTTTAAAAAGAGATTTAGCCTAAAAATTTACCAAATTAACTAGTTTTCCTATTGCTGTAGGGCCTCAAGGCAACTCAAACCAAACAGGAATATGCAGATAGCCCAGATTCATTCGCAAAATTAACATTAGTAGATTTTAAACCTTTCCTAACAACAGTAATTTCTTCACATGCAACAATACTTCCATAACATTTTAAAGTCTTCTCTGATACCAACGTTCATAAACAATTACTTTATCTCAGATATTACAATAGCAGAACCCAAATTACCTGAATCATGTACAGATAAAATGAGAAACCTATCATGTTGGCATGGACACATTTCTGATAGAGACCATAAGGAGAGTAAATTAGACCATCATCCCTGAAGTGATACATATAACTTTCCGAGCTCTTTCCCATCAAATTTCAGCCTTGCAATATTAAACCAGAATATCCAACTGTATCTTCAAAAGTGTATAAATTACCTGCAAGAGTTCTGTGAGGGAAACAGTGCTCCCTCCGTGACCGTTACATGCTGTCTGCATACATGCATCTCAGACGTGTAGCATCTCCTGGAGATACTATTTCTTCTATGACGTATCACATAGGAACTGACATCCTAAAATGCAATCTTTCTAGGCTTAAATCTTCAAGGGATAGACTTAAATTTGGCTTAAATATCATACAGCTTCTTGTGTTTTGAATGTTCTGACACCAGAATAACAGCTTTAATTGATAAACCTCAACCCACTTTGAAAATAATTCCATATAAAACTGGAACAAAAAGGGGTATTTTTTCCAGATAAAAGCAAGCATCATTTTGAACAACACACATATATTACTTCACACAACAGCAATTATTGTTATGCTCAAATTGGAAAAAGGGTTTACCTTAGATTGCTGACACAGCCCTACCCACACAACACTTCACCCTGAAGAGCATATATAAGCTAAACGCACATCTCATTTTTAGCACAGTCCATGACTTATGTCACCACAATGACAAGCCCACATAAGACATATTTTTGATGACAAGATAACCCCACATAATGCCTCCACCATGATAACTGGATTTTTACTAAGCTTTCCATGACCAAATTACAGCCATAATGATGACATACTGCACACCACTGCCAAGCACCATAAAGTGACACCTGCTTACAACAGATTGAACTGGAACTTGTCAATATGACCAGAAACATTACCAATAACTAAGGACTGTTTCCTAAGCTTTACTCATATTGGGTAGTACATGCTTAGCTTGGCATCCTTAATAGAAGCAGAACCTTGCTTACACCACCTAGAAACTGAGACCAAAGAAACATTCTTATGTTGTTGATGGAACAACAACAAAAAACTATCCACACCATACAAAGGAGTACCAGTAAGATCCAATTAAATCTCTGGACTGCATTCAACCTCTATCTAGACTCCATATTACAGAAAAAACACACACTCTGTGCAAAAGCCAGAGGTAGAATATTTTCATTACTCAGTTCAGTACTAGGAGGTTAAAAATGCCAGTGTCCTATTCCCTTTCAAACCTCTCATCTCCTACCCCCTACCTGCCAGCTGTATAGAGTATTTCCCTTGTCACTAATTCTGATAGCTTGCCCTAATTAACTCATTTTATCTTTTGGTACAAATCAATTACAATTAAAATACAGTTTGTCAAACCTCAGTGGAGTATTGTTTCATGTTAAAAACATTCTTACTCATGAGAGAAAGTGTGATTAACTTCAATAGAAAGCGTAAAGTTTAACTTACTATGAGCTGGGGGATTCAAGCACAATTCTTTTGGAGAACACTTCAAGCTTCATCTCAGTGGAAGGAAACTAAAGGAGTGGAAGGGTTTACACTGGTCACTCAGATCATCAGTGTGTGGCTGGATCTAGGAAAAACATAATGTTGTTTTGTCTAAGGCTTGCTTGTTTAGGTTTAAAAGAGCACAGAATCATGACTCAATGCAGATGGTCCAGATTCTTGTTTGTTTATGAAAAACAAACAAACACACAGGTGGTGAATAAGATCACAGAATCATGATCATGAAAGAATATCCAACCCTTGAAGGAACAAGCCCCAAAGCTTCTTAGGCATCATGCTTTTTGAAACATGCCTGAAATGTGAAGCACTATATTTTAATTCCAGGTGGTAGATTAAAATGCAACAAGTCTAATGTTCCACTAGAGATTAAGGAAACCAATTTCTTTGACCATAAGTCTGTAGTAGCAGGAAAGTCTGTCAGAGGTTCCTCCTTTTAACAGAGCCAGAGAGAGGTCCAAAAAGGGGCCTTACCACCACAGAAACCATTTTAATTAAATACACTGCAGAAAAAACTTCCACACGTTATAGAACACATTACATTCCAAATAAACATGATAGATGGTTGTAACAACAACAAAAAAACCCTTACTTAGGTAAATGTGACTGCAACAACGATTATTTTTCCCCCCATCCTCGGAATATGGTCACACAACCCCCAGTGACAGACCACAACAGAGCAAGCCCTAGTCTGACAGAGTTCAGGGGTTATTTTGGGTCTAAAGAGCAGCGGTTTGGGTGCCGAGGCTGCAGGGCGTCGTGAGGGAGCGAGGACACCGCCCCTCAGACCGCCCCGCGCCGGTCCCGACCGGTTCTGACCGGCAGGACCGCGGCCAGCCCGGGAGCAGGCACTGAGGGAGGGAGCGGGAAGGAAGGGTCCTGCAGTGTGAGGGGCTGAGGAGAGGCGGGGGGTGATGGAGGAGGCAGCGTGCTCTGAACGGAGCAAGGGAGGCTCTGCGAAGGGGACATGGCCGGAGGCTCGGAGGCACGCCATGCCTGAGGGGGACCCCACGATGCAGCACGTTTCCCTGAGGGGCTGCAGCCCACGAGCAATCCATGCCAGTGCAAGGACATCCCTGTGGAACAGCACCATGGCACATCAACAACCCACCCCCCAAACTACCAGTTCTCAAGGAAAATGAGAACAAATATGTTTGGGAAAGATTCTTCCACCTGGTTCAGACTGTGAATGGATGACACTGTTATTTGCAGCCTTTGCATAACCTGCGGGACTGCACAATCTAGATTTACCTGTGTTGGAATGGTATTCTGAGGACAAAAAATCTGGGACTGTTCCAGGAAATACTTATTATGGTTTAAAAACTCATAGCAGGTATGATACAGAATATAAAATTATAATGCATTTTTCTAGGAGACTCAAGAAAGCATCCTTACTATTGCTGATTCATGCCAAGATCTTATGGATTTGTGCTTTGCTGTACAGGTCTAATTGTAGACAACGCACAACTTCCTAAAACATCTGCTATTCACAGTTATCTCTCTTACATTAAAACACCCTGTGTCTTTATAAAGTACTGCCCTAGTACAAACCTCATCTACCCTTTAAAGCCTGTTCACAAAACCCTACAGTGCAACTTTGTCTCAGTAGACCTCATACTAAATACAGTGTTGTCTGTTCATGCCACTTCACCTCATCTTAGGTCAAATACCTACCTTCCTATAGGGGGTATAAGTCTTTTTTTACACTTTAAAACCTGTTCTTTGCTACGCAGAAGAGTGAAAATAAAGCATATGTGTGCCATGGACACGTATAGGTGCACACATAGATACTCATAGAGCATTTTCCCCTGATAAGCAACAGACCAGCACCCTCTTATTTCCATATAGCTATGATTTCATCCAATAATTCCTGCAGTGCTCCAACAGTCCTCTTCAGCATCATGATCAGCTGATTGTAAAACTCCTAGTCAACATAAAACCCAAGTGGTTAAGATGTAAGGTGACTTGGGGCATCATCAGATCTCTTGTATGTGAGCAATGAGCCTGCCCAGCCCACCCCGGCCTGGGTTTTCTGTTAGGTACAAATGATGTCCAGCATCCTCAAAACCAGCACCTGAAATCCAGGTGGCTGTACTAAAAGTCAAAGTTTTTATTCCCGCCAAGGAAACTGCAATAAAAAGGGGGCATTATTTGACAAATGGATTTTTGATGCACACGTAGTGTAATGAGTAAGATCACTGTATTTGCCATTAGCCGGGAGGTTGTGGTGATTGCCACTACCAGAAGCTTGAACTACTTTCTTTATGTTTTTATCCTGTAAGATTCCACGGGTCTTTTACTGCACATTTGTAATAAGTACAGCTCTAGATTAGCAAACCACAGTTTTGTTTGACCCCAGCTACCATGTAAGCTTCTAGTTTTCTCTGGTCTAAAGTACACTGAAGTATTTTTCTGCTTTCCTGCAGTTTTTAAGTAGATAATAAGTCCCAAACTTCACCAGCCTTTAGCTGAAAGAAGCTTGTCACGGTGGTTGGTAGCTAATGAAGATCCTTTTAGTTTATCTTCATCAATTGTCAAATATTTGAGTCCATGAAGTGGTGTGATGAGGTACAAAGACAGATATTTGAAGGGATTTTAACTCATTTGAGCAATTACATGCTTAACTGCCCTGCGATAATCTGTCAGTCTGAGTCTTTTCTACACAGCAGAAGTGGGGAGTATTAGAATAGCTGGATTTGGAACATAAAGGCCTGGCCTGAATGGAAGAAAGGCACCAGAGAAATTAATTGCCAGTAACAAACAGCAGGACTGCTTGCAAGTTATATATCACATAGTTACCTACCAGCAGTGGTAGAAGCCAGCTGTAAAATAACATACTGAATTGTGACAAAATAGTCACTGCTATTAAATTCCTCATGATATTTCCTGATTTCAACTAATGTTGACTGATCAAGTTTATTGTATTACTTAAATTATATAGATACAGAGATAAAAGTCTTGCTTTATATAAAGATTTCCTGAATGCAATTTTCAGTAAAACAAATATGTTTTTAATTACAGCTCTGAGTTTTAAGAGGTGATTTATAATTTATATGCTTTTGTTTGTTTTTATGCACAGGTTTCTGCCATACTCAGAACATAACGATTATGTAGATTCAGTAATGGAACAATGAGTTAAACAAAAAAAGGGGGGGGGGGGGAATATTCCGTTGCATGTGATTCTTTAATTCTGAAATAATCACATTAGAGCCAGATTATTAGGAAGATTGAATTGATAATGTGTATTGCTTATAATGGTATAGTTAGGACTTCCTTGAGTCCCATAAGTTCTAAGGGGAGCCAAGAGAAAATAATTGCAGAGCAGCCATCTCACTTTAGCCCAGGCTCATGGCTACTCTGGGCCACTATTACCAGAAACCTGCCTAACTGTTCTTCATTCTTTTCCTTCCTTTCTCTGTCAGGTCCCTGGTGCCATCTCCTTGCTCCATCAGTTGCCTCATTTCTTTCAGAGCCTCCCTATCCCCCGCTGTATGGCATAGGAAGACCTCTTCAGGTAGGAGTCAGTGATCTTGACTGCCAGAGAGCATTGCCATGGCACAGCAATATTTTCTCCAAAAATCCCACAGCAGCTTTCTCCTATACTCACAGAACTCTGTAACACTCTGGAACTTCCTGCAGTGGGGAATTATCAGTCCCTGTTACACTCTTTCTACACCAGAAATAAAGTAGTCTTTGACTTAGGCACATTTGGGTTTGTTTCTTTCTCCCCTTTGGAATTACACCATGAAACCAGCGTAAGGAACATGGACTTGAGACTACAACTAATGCAAACACACATACTGAAGTCTATCTTTGCCTTCGTGGTAACACTGGCCATAAATGGCGGTGTGTTTCTGTTCAGAGAGGGCCATTTCATTCACATTACGTGTGTTAGTTATGATGTTTATTTTAGATTTGCTGTCTCCCTAAGGTGCCAGCTCTGAGGGAGCTAGTTAGCATGGTGGTGTTAGGTACAAAGCAAAAGCCCTTCACCTCGGGGACTGTGCTTCAGTTCTGACCTAAGGTCAGAAAGGAAATAAGATAGGTAATCTCAGCTCTGTCCCTAACGACCGGTATTCCACATCACAATGCTACACATGGCTGTCAGCTTCTGCTCAGGAGAGGCCCAGGACACAGCCAGCATGAAGAACTAATTACCCTCCCAGCCCAGGGAACAAATGGGCAGCCCAGCTCAGCAGGCTGAGATCACTGGTGAGGTACTGCAGCAGGCTAATAAAGTGGAGGAGTGTCACATGCATGGCTGTGGCATACAGTTCATGAGGCGCTTTATTTTTCCTTCATTAATGAGTGTTTTATTTTAGGCTCACTGTATCACATTAACATATTAAAAAAGAAGAAAAGAAAAAAAAAAAAGAAAAGAATAGAGTTGATTTATTCAGTCAGCCCGGTGCTGCAAAAATCACCTGCCTTTTGTTTTTACAGGCCTAATTCACATGGGCCAAATTAAGTCCAGACTTTTATGAGTGGGGCTTAAAGGGCACAAAGAGCTGCTTCCCTCATCAGTGGAAGGAACCATAAATTGGCTGCTTGCACTGGAGAATCCAGAGATAGAAATCATGCAGTTCAGCAGCATTAGTTGGGTCAGACAGGCCATGTCTGAGCAGGATGGACTAGGATGTGTTCTCACTCTCTCCCAAAAACTAAGGCAGGGGAACCAGTAAGGAAGCAGAGTCTTCAAAGAAACTGATCTTTAACACTCTCCCCTGGCACCCCTGAAGCCACCACCACCCCTGGGTATCACTGTTCACAGGCACAGAAGCATCTGAAATTAATTAGCTCACAACCTAATACTTATTAGGATGAAGCAGCTTATTGTAGTTACAGCATTCACTGCCTAGACCAAGGAGTATAAATACCTGCCACCAGAAACACAGGTACTCACAACTCTGTTACAACCAACTTCAACAGGAGAGCCAGGAGGACATTTCTTGTCTTACGATAGCACAGGACATACACAGAGCTTACAGCAAAACATGGAGCAGTGAGCACAAAGAAACAGGATATTTTAAAAAGTACATGCTTTTATGGCTCTTAGAAGAGCAAAAGCATTAATTAAAAGTAGATACTGAAGGAAGCAATTAGACATTGGAAAAACGTGTAATAATTGCCAGAAAGTTACCTTCACACAGGCGCACTGGAGCCGCGCAACCGTCTCTGCGCCAAAACCAGCAACCAGCTTCCCCAAACAGGCTCCAACTGTGCCCTCGGGCACTCACATGTGAGCATTTATACCTGGGAGCAGGTTGTGCCCTCTGCTTCCACCTAGGTGGGATCCTGGGAAATGTAGTCTGCCAAGCGGCTCTTCTTTTGCATGGGTTACCTTGACTACATTAAATCACGTGATTTTAAAAGATTTTAAGCATTTCTATGAGCACGTGAGCTTTCTCAATTAAAAAGCAAATCTGGATTTTTTCAGGTGATGGGAATTATAAATATGTCTTTTAAAAGCAGGCTGGTCAGAGCAGGGAGGAAGCTGAGCCACATTTATCTTCACCTGGCACAGACATGGCAGTGTAGGCTTCAGACGTTTGTCTTTTTATTTAGAGTGCTGAATTTCAGAGTGCACTGCAGCACAGGTGAATGCCTCAGTAGCCACATTCCCTTGTTCTCAGAAACAAATTTAGGAGTAAAGGAGGGGAACATTAAAACAACAGCCATCCAATGAAAATGTCGATTTATTGTATATTTACCTCCTTCCACAAAAAAATGGGTTACTATATACATTGCAGATGGATGTTCTCCTCCTTTGTATGGACCACGAACCTAATTTTTAAGAAACCCAGGC